CTTCCGTAGTGATACTGCCTCGGAAACCCAAGGAGGGGTCGCTATGAGTCGGGGCCGACTCGACGGCACATAACAACAACAACAACATATATATATATAAATATGCTAAAAGTATACTCCATGAAATTAAATGTACCCAATATGTTTTGGCCTCTGGAATAAGACATAAAATTCATACTGTAGGATATTGCTGACATGTAATAGAAATATTATTATAATATTAATTTATGTAAGTAAATCTTTGTTAGAAGGATTTCTAATATTAAAGCTGCATAGTTTGGACAAAGAAAATTATGCTCCTAGTTGTAGCAGTTACTAGAATTTACCGGAGAAAAATTGATAGAGAAAGTAGAAGGAGTGGGGAAGAAAAGAAAGACAAGATGTCCATTAGAATTCATTATATTGGCTAATATCTTGATATCTGGATTTCCTGTAATCAAGCTATTTTCTTTACAAAGCAAAACTGGATTTTGACTAATGGATAATGAAGTGAGATGTGCAAAGAAACAAAGATCCAATAAAATTTTGATATATAATTACTTTTATATTACGTATAAGAAAAGTACACAAAAACTGTATTTCTTCCTTATGCCACTTACATTTAACCAGGTCCTATATATTAATGTCAAATAGCATAATTTCTCACAGCCAGAGTAAAAGCCACTGTGTTCACATACAACCTCAGAAATGCTCCCCAATGCTTCATTCTTGGGGCTGGGCTTTCTGATGCATAGCTGGGCTGTCTCTGCTGCTCTGCTCTTGCCCTTGTCTCCATAAATAGGCACACTCGCCAAGTTCCAACGCATGTGCTGTATTCTCCACAAAGTTAACTGAATTAACTGATTTCTGTTTTTTCTCTTTAATTGGTAAGAACATTAAAATGTGATTTATTTGCAAAGCAAAAGATTCTTTTTAAATGTTAAGAGGAAGGTATATTTTTTGAGTACCTACTATGCACCTGGAGGCGCTGTCATTTAATTCATAAAACCACCCCTAAATTTGGCACTAATATTCTAATTTTATAGATAAGGAAATCAAATGTCAAAGAGGTTAATTTCCCCAAAGACACAGAGCTAGCAACTGCAAAAATCCAGATTCAAACCCCAGGCCATTTGGCTCCCAAGCCTATGCCACTGAAAAAAGAGTACATTTAATAAAACAGTATTGTAGCCCACTGAATCACCTCTCACTGAAAAGAAAGGTCAATACACCTTTCAAAAGGCCTAAATTGTATTTATATCTGAAAGGAAATTCTCTTTTAGATTTTGTAATCAACGGTATTGAATGACTCTATAAAATGCTGTTCAGTAAAATTCTCTGTAAGAGTTTGAGTATTCTTACTTTTTCAATAGTACATAAATTTTGCAATGCCTTCAGATGCATTCTATTATTGAAACTTTTTAGAATATTGCTGTTGTTGTTATATGCCACCGAGTCGGACCCGACTCATAGTGAGCCCTCCTTGGGTTTCCAAGGCAGTAGCAGTATGGAAGCAGATTGCCCAATCTTTCTTACCAGGAGTGGCTGGTGGGTTTGAACAGCCAGGCTTCTGGTTAGCAGTCAAGTACCTTAGGCACTACGCTACCAGAACTCCCTTTTAGAATATTAGAGTAACACAACACTTAAGGACCCACTGTTTAATAATGTGACAGACCACCTAGATGGACTATACTGTACTTTAAAATTTTTGATTCTTTATGTTAATGAAAAATTATAACAGATTATTCCAAAAGAATATATAGGAATGGATTTATATTACTATTTAAATGTGATTTTATTTTACTTATTTCAAAAATAATTAAGGTAGGTCACAATTAAGAGTAATTATTTATGATCTGGAAATCTGTATCACTCTAAAAAAAAAAATGAAGCATGTGGCTCAATAGTCCCCAAAGCTTGTAAAGATAATTACTGGAACATTTTTGCTAAGTGAAAAGATTCACGGAATTATAAAGTAAACAAGAGAACTATAATGACATATCAACTAAGGACTGCATCAAGCATTAATCATCAAGGATTTAATAGCATATTTGGTTGCCATTAACCCTTGAGCCTTTTTCCTTAAAATAGTGATAAAAGATTATGTGTGTGCTAGTATGTTGTTGTTGTTGTTATGTGCCGTCGAGTCGGTCCCGACTCATAGCGACCCCTCCTTGGGTTTCCGAGGCAGTATCACTACGGAAGTAGGATTGCCCAACCTTCCTTCCGAGGAGTGGCTGGTGGGTTTGAACCGCCAGCCCTCTGGTTAGCAGGCAAGTGTCTTAGCCACTATGCTACCAGAGCTCCTGTGTGCTAGTATAGTGAGTATTATTGTTTTGCAGTGTAATTTTAAAGTGTAAAATTGCAAGAAGTAAGATTAATTTAATTCTATTATCTCAGGCTTCAGACAGTATATACTTCTTTTCAGAGAAAATATCAAAAGTTCATTTTTCATTAAATGAAAATCTTTACATAAACTTGAGGGACTTAAGTCATTTCACAATTTTCTCTCCTACCATTTTCATTATCAAACCTTCAGTGTAAAAGTTTACCACTTGCTATATAAATAATTTCCAGAAACAACCAAGCTCATTAAAATCACAGTAGACAATTAAACACCCATTTATCCACCTTAATCCACCTTTCAACTCCTAACCATGCCAACATAGTCATCCTTTCACTATTATTTTACTTGATAAGTTTCAGCTTCTGTAGGTAGCATGTCTATAATTAACCCTAAAGGCATAGATCACTATGCATAATGAAACAAACTGAAAAGAAATCAAATACTACATTTATTTTCACTTGATACTAATATTGATACTAATTTAGTGTCTTCTAATTTCTTCTTGGATATCAGGCATAAAAAAGCTAACACTTGTTGATACTGTAGAAGACTAATTTCTTAGATTTCTTTTGTAGAAACATACTAAAATAAAAGGAATTGAAAACAACTTGAGATTTAGAAAAAGCAATTCAATTTATAACTATTGAAAGCAACTTCCCGTATCAGTTGATTTAAAAACTTCCACCGGTTCTCCTAAAATTGGTTTAGGATGCATATGAAGAGATTTCTGAGTTCTCTCCTTATTTTATTACAATATTCTCTGAATAATAAATCTAGTTTCTTTCCTAATCTTTATCTCAAACTCATTTGACAGTCTGGGAAAATACAATAGTGTTTCTTTTACATATGACCAAGCATAAAATAGAAGGTTGATCAATTCACCTAACTTATAAATATTAGTAGAAGCAATGTGACATACAGTGTTACTTCTAAGTTTGTCATATGTAATTAAAAAAAAAATTCAGAGAATTCTTCTAAATACAGGATGAAAATTCACAAAAACCCATGAGGAAAAACCCCTTCATGAATCATGGCAAACTATTTCCTAAACAACCCACATTTTGTTCTCAAAATTGATAATAGTATATATAGTCACACTGATTCTGATAGACATAAAAGACTTAAATGTATTGCCTCACGAGAGTATATGTGTGTGTGATAAGGGGTTATGATAAAGTAAGAAAAATGAAACATCTTGTTTTCACTATAATAATTATTATAACTTTCTGTAAAATTCACTAACTTATATGGTTTTATTTAACAAAGGACCAAAATTGCAAGCAAGAAAAAAAAAATGTTTTGTTTTGCTTTTTTAATGATGTGATAGTTATTAAGAATGAATGTGATCAGTGTAAAGGAAAAATGCCGTTTCAGAAACTCAGATAAAGGAATGTCTGAGTTCAGGATGCAAACACTGCATGGTAACACTTTCTGAAGCAGTGATTATAATAGAATAACAGTATTTAGTAGCAGTATTTAATCATATTTACCTGTCTCTATCTGGAGAGTAATGGTCATCCATAACACGATGTCTATCCATTCGGCTAATTGTATTATAGTGTCCAGCAGAAGAGCGTGTCCCTCGAAGGCCCTGTTCTACATTCCGACTGAAATAGTAAGATTCATGAGGTACTCTATTGAACCATAATCAGATATTACACTAATAAATGAGGTGTATTAATAAATATACTAGAAAAAATATTCATTGTAATGCCAGTACAAGTTTTTTTGTCTTAACTAATGGCACCCCTAGGTAAATAGGTATAAATTTCAACTAGGAGCTCAGAGTAAAGTTGGGACTTAAGTTGGGAAAGATATAAGCTGCTATGTAACAGGACAAGACATACAAGGATCCTAAGTAATCTAATGCCAATGGGGACAGAGATGAGGAATATTAAAGCTATTAATGGATGACTTCCAGGTCACTAGCTTGGGCAGATGGTAGTGATAATTATGTTCAATGGTATAAGGAGACTGGATTTGTGTGAAGAAAGTCGGTTCAGTGTTGGACATGTTTGTTTACATGGCCTTTAGGAATAAAGGTTGAGATGCCTCATAGGTGGTTGGACATAAATGCAGAGCTCAGGAGAGTAACTCAAAATCTGTTACTTCTCACTACCTCCTCTGATAGCACCCTAATCCAAACTACCATCCTCCTATTACACTTTAGCAACAGCTACATAAGTAGTCTCTTGCTTCAGTCCCTACTCCAATCCACCATCACCAACAGCAGCCCTTCAAAATGTAAGGAAGACCATGCATGGCACAGCATGTTATAAGATGAGTGGTAGGAATCTTCTTTTTAAATATTATTTCATATGATGACCTAATTTTTGTATTCTTTACAAATCCTTTCCACATTAATTTGTGGTGCCACAGTTATCATCATACATAAAGTTCACATACAACTATAACTATATTGTGTTCTCTAGTCTTTTCAGTAGGTCTATTTTGTGGCTACTGTTCAAGTTCCATTCTGTTTTTAATTACTACAAGTTGGTGGTTAAATTTGTATCTTCTTTTTCAAAATGAGTTTAAGTATTCATGTACCTTTATTTTTCCATATAAGTTCAGGAAAGATATTTTCAAGTTTATAAAATTTTCAGATAGAATTTTGACTGATACAGAGTTAAACTTATACATTAATTTGGAAAGACTTGTCATCTTCATTATATGGAGTCATTCTACCCATAAAGAGGGCTTATCTCTCTCATTTATTCTTTACATAAAATTTTATATTTTTTCTATAAAGATCATGTGAATTCTTAATAAGATTTAATTGTTGTTACTTTATACTCTGTATTGCTTCTGAGATTAGCGTTTTGTGTCCTATTAGATTTTCTAATTATTAATTATTATTTAAAAAGCTGTCTTATGGCCAACAATTTGGCAGACCATCCCACGAATTCTAACAGTGTATTGATTGTGTTGAGTTTTCTTTGTAGATAATAATATCATTTCATCCAGATTCCTTTGGGCCAAGCAGAAATTGTTTATTTTAAAGTGATGGTACTGTTCTACCTTTTAGATTTAGCAGTCATCGTTTTCTAGAATAAAATATATTTCTTTGTTCTTTATGACATTTTTTATTGTATTATATTGTATTATAGTGTCCAAGTAGAAGAGTATGTCCCTTGAAGTAGAAGAGTATGTCCCTTGAAGTAGAAGAGTATGTCCCCTGTTCCACATTCTGACTGAAATAGCAAGATTCATGAAATATCTTAGTGAACCATAATCATATATTACACTAATACAATTTTTGACATTGAATTCAATTCTTATTTTCCAATTGAAATTATGATCCCATTTTTCTTCCGGCTTATAAATGTCTACTGTATTTTTAATGAGCCCTGGTTGTGGAGTGGTTAAAGCACTTGGCTACTAATTGAAAGGCCATGGGAAAAAGATGTGGCAGTCTGCTTCTGTGAAGACTATAGCCTTGGAAACCCTATGGGCAGTTCTAGCCTGTCTTTTAGGGTTGCCACAGGTCACAGTGAACTCTATGGCAACGTTTTTTGTTTGGTTTATTATATTTTTTTAATGAATCTGGGTTTATACTCTGTTCTTTGCTTTTAAGCATGTTGCTTTTAGACAACATACTAGTGGATCTTGTTTTGGGGATGATTGTTAATTCTTTTTAAAATCCAAACAGAAACCTCTATAATTGATCAATGATGACTTCTTTGAGCTACCATTCTGCCCTGGATTGCCTATTTTCATGATGGAATAAATCTTTTATGTTATATGGCTATTATATGCACTTGAATTTAATCTAAATCCTATGTCTATCTTCTACTGAAGTGTTCAAATTTTCTTTCCTTGGTTTAGAAGTCACGCATTTTTTTTAAATGAGCAAGGGTTTGATTGACTAAAATTACAAATTCAAAAACTTTTTCTTTCTTAAAATTAAAATTTCAGATTGTTTACCATATTGGAGCATTAACTGCTCAGAAGATTGAATAATTCTGGCCCCATTTACAAACTGTTAATTCAACATCTTCACACATTTTTAGCTATGTTTATAAACTTAATAGTAGATTTTCTTTTACTTTCTTCAATTGTCTAAATTAAGTAAACTCTCTTCAAGGAGCTCTGGTAGCATAGTGGCTAAGACACTTGCCTGCTAACCAGACGGCTGGCGGTTCAAACCCACCAGCCACTCCTCGGAAGGAAGGTTGGGCAATCCTACTTCCGTAGTGATACTGCCTCGGAAACCCAAGGAGGGGTCGCTATGAGTCGGGACTGACTCGACGGCACATAACAACAACAACAACAACAACTCTTCAAGTACTTAATAAATTTTATAAAACAAACAAATCAAATACATATTTGAAAAACAAAATTTATCTTACTAAACCATCCCAAACTCACTTCATCAAGTTGATTCCAACTCATAGTGACCTTCATTCGGTTTCCAAGGCGGTAAATCTTTATGGAAGCAGAATGCCTTATCTTTCTTCCATGGAATAGCTGGTGGTTGGAACCACCGACCTTTTTGTTAGCAGCCTTAACCACTAAACCACCAGAGCTCCTTGAAAGTTCTCTTAGTCATGTGTACAATTAGTAAGGTTAAAATTAGAACTTCCAAATTTAAAACAAAATAAATTATTCATTTAAAATAGGAATTAGAAGACTGTCACTTGAACAGCCCAAATTTTCTTAAATACTGCAAGTATATAAAATGTGAATTATGCATACATTTCTTGTTAGCACCAAATATTATTTCATGGTTTTTACTCCAGTAAGCCTCTCTGCAACCATGCTGACCAGAAATTTCTTCCAGGCACAGACCTGGAGCTGCAGACCTTCCAAGCATTTTTCGCACTGCCCATGAATGTTTTTATTCTTCTGATGGTTAGTCTAAATTTTAAAGACCAGTTGGGTGTGGTCTTTTTTGTGTGTGTGTGGTCTTTTTTTTGTGTGTTTGTGCTATTTCTTAAATGATCAACATTTATATTACTTCCGATTATAATTGTTGTTGTTGTTGTTATGTGCCGTCGAGTCAGACCTGACTCATAGCAACCCCTCCTTGGGTTTCCAAGGCAGTATCACTACGGAAGTAGTATATTCAATATTAATATTTGATTAAAAGTTTTTTCTTCTCAATTTTACACTATTAGAATAAAACAATATATAGAGCATTCAAAATTACAAAGTAATCCATTTTCATATTACTGTCATTATCTGGGTTATTCGATAGATTTTTGTTTTTCCTTAACAAACTTTTCCCCACAAGAACTTATTATCTTTAGAGATGATTAATGACAGCTTACAGTAAATAGGCCTGTAGTACCATTCTACAAATAAAAAGTATATGCTCTCTTACCTTTGTGGAGGAGGGACACTGGGTGACCATGATCTAGTCCTTCCTATTACATCTACTCGGTGGGGAGACCCTGATGGTGAACAATGGTTTGATGACATTACTTGTTCTGGCACTGATAATGTTGAGCTCTGAAGATCTCGACCATTGTGTCGGTAATCTAACCGAGGGAAAAATTAAAATTAAAGTTATCTACACTAAGCCTTTTGCATATTTTGTACTTTACTAAATAACAAAATGTTGGTAAAATTTGAAAGGCTTTGTATATATTAAATGCAAATCACAATAAATATCACATACTAGGACAAAATAATATGTTGTAAACACATACATTAAAAAAGAATGACAAATATTTGTATGGCTGTAATATCCAAGGTACTGTGCTGGGTAGAGTAAGACTTCTATACACTACAATATATTGAAAATATTTTATATACACTTACATGAAGAGTAAAACTGTGATATATACTTAAATAAAAATCCCACTGCTATTAAGTCAATTCTGACTCACAGTGACCTTACAGGACAGAGTAGAACTGCCCCAATGGGTTTCCAAGGCTCTTTACAGAAAGCACACTGCCTCATCTTTCTTCCACAGAATGACTGGTGGGTTTAAACCATTGACATTTTTTGGTCAGCAGTTCAATGTGCTAACCACTGTGCCACCAAAGCTCCTTATACATACTAATCTTCAACAAAAGCAAATTTATTCTAAAAATATATTTTTATCTGTTCAATGATCTAGAAATACTTTTCAAATTTTATATATTTAAAATTATAAAAAATTCAAAATATTTAGGAAAAATAGTTCCTAAAAGTTTATAGTTATTTCTATAAGATGCAAACAATATTCAAAAATATTCTGAATATTATTTGAAGTACAGTTGGCCCTCCATACTCATGGGTTCCACGTCTGGGAACTCAGCCAACCACTAATCAAAATATTCCACCCCAAAAAAGGCAATTAAGTGGTCAAAGCAATTGCATACAGTGCTATGAACACAACCATTACATTGTACGAGGTATTACAAGTAATCTAGAGATTATTTAAAATATATAGGAAGATGGATGTGCATAGCTTAAATGCAAATATGCCATTTTATATAAGGGACTTGAGCATCTGCAGATTTTGGTATGGGGAGGGGTCCTTAAGGATAACAAAGGACAAATGTACATGTGTAATATGATCTTCAAGTATTTGACAGAGTTGAGCTATAACATAAGTCTGATAAAAAAAGTATGACAAATCTTTCTTTTATATAATAGCCTATTGGGTTAACATACTTATAGGATTTGTATTAGAAGGGATACAAGGCAAATGAATCATAGAAAGCAATTGGAATTTGGACAAATGGGGGAAAAAATTATAAAGAATTCTAAGTTGGTAGAAAAAAAGCACTAGAAAAAATACGTGGAAAACATAAGTTTGACCCAAGGTGTATATCTCTATAATATCAAGAAGCATGTAATGGAAAGAGCTGGAAACTTTTTGAGCAGGAAGTGATATTACCACCATTACCACTATCTTCATCATATTCACCATTGCTACTATTGATTGACATTTTTTATGTGCTAGGGACATAGCTATGAGCTCTGGTGGCACAATGTTTAGTCATTCAACTGCTAACCAAAAGGCTAGTGGTTTGAACCCACCAGTCACTCCCTGGGAGATAGATGAGTCAGTCTGCTTCCATATGATTTACAGCCTTGGAAATCCTATGGGCCAGTTCTACTCTTTTCTATAGGGTTGTTATGAGTCTGAATTGACTCAATGGCATTGGGTTTGACTTTGAGTAGGACTCTGCTAGACACTTTACAAAGTGTTTTGCTACAACACTTTGAGAAGTAACTCAGAAAAAAGTACTACATCCTGTATGCTTTTTTTCCCCAACATGTTAATGGTTTATAGTTTTAGGGTATGGTTCCTAGATATAGAGCAAAAGACAGGAATTTGGGTGCACATGAATAATTGAAGGCATAGCTTTCAGGAGGAGTTAGAAGAACAGAACGTGGGAAGGGAAGGATCTAAGCAAGTGGGCTTTGGAGTACGAATTGTATCAGAGTTGCTATGGCTTTGAGGCAATGGGGCTGGACTTTCGTGCTCCTCGTCAGTTAGTCCCTGCCTGAAGACTGCCAGTGGGAAGTGGAGGAGATGCTTAATCTCCATAGTGAGGTAGTTTCCATTTGCCTAAGGGCAATTCTCTGGAGGAGAAAGTAGCATTTTACACTGGCAACCAACACAGTTGGGGATGTGTAAACCAGCTGATAAAAGGAATCTGGGTAGGGCATCAACAGTGTCCACTACAACTACCAAATAATAGCAATTGAATGCAAAGTGCACTAACACAGCTGGATGAAGCAAGCTACAGAAATACAGAACTGACTAGGATGTCTATTTATCCTGTATTCTTCTTGTCTCTGTGATCTTGAACTCTTGGAAGTACTTATTCCATAGGTTCTTCCAGATGCTTGTGGATGTTTCCCTCCATGCCCTGATTTTGCAGATTTACACTCCTTCCACCTATCTAGATAGAGACTTTCATTCCAGATATCTTTATATTACATTAAACCTGTGAAACCCAGAATCTATGTAACACAGAAACCTGTCAGAGAAGGAAAATACAAATATTTTCCACTAAAACAAATGATAGAAAAGTGTGGTGAGACTGTACTTTTTAAAGGTGGAAAACTTGGAAAAACAAGGCAGCCCCATCAAGTTCCAGCTCTCACAGGTTTCACAGTATTTTAAAGTCCTAACTTGGTCCAAGGAGCCCTGGTGGCACAGTGGTTTAATGCTCAGCTGCCAACTGAAAGTTCTGAAGTTCAAACTCACTAGCCACCAGTGTGGAGGAAGATGTGGCGGTGAGCTTCCAAGACTTTCAAGATTTGCAGCCTCAGAAACTCTATAGGGCAGGTCTTCTCTATTCTAAAGGGTTGCTATGAGTCAAAACAGCATTCGGTTTGGTTTTTGAGGTTTATAGAACTCCAACATTGTTCTCGTTGCTTAATAATTTCACATGGCTTTTTAATTGTGTTAGTATTTTTATTTAGTGCACTGATCATAAAGCTGCATGGGTTTCAAATGGTGTCCTCTAACCCTACCTCCCCAGAAGCCTTGTTGTTTTCAGTCCACAATTTTCCAGAACACAAGGAACACATATATTGTATAATAAAACAACTCTGCAAAGAAGGTATTATCCACATTTTACATTGGCGGAAACTGAGGAAAAGAAATTGAAATTAAAGGTGAAATACCAGTCCTAGCATTTAAAACAAGATCTAGCTGACTACAAAGATCTCAATGTGTTCTGGCACTAATGATGTTCTCACGATCTAATATGCTGTTGCTGTTATGTGCCGCCGAGTTGGACTCGACTCATAGTGACCCTTCCTTGGGTTTCCGAGGCAGTATTACTACGGAAGTAGATTGCCCAACCTTCCTTCCGAGGAGTGGCTGGTGGGTTTGAACCTCTAGCCTTCTGGTTAGCAGTCAAGCACCTTAGGCACTATGCTACCAGAGCTCCCTAATATAGGAATATTAGTATAGCACCACACACACACACACACATATAATATAGCTGACAGCATTATACAATTCAGCTGAAGAGACTGCAGCAAGCAAATTAATTGCTTTTATAATACTTAGAACAGCATTGTCCAATAGAATTTTCTGCAAATGCAAAATGTTCTAGATCGACATGGTATGTCCAATATAGTAGCCACTAGATAGATACATGTGGCTATTGAACACTAGATGTGACTAGTGTTAATGAGAAAGTGGGTTTTTGTAAAGAAATTTATGGTGGTAATATATAACAAAAATGTTACTATTTAAAACATTTTTAAGTGTACAATTCAGTGATGCTAATTACACCCACCATGTTGTGCAATCATCACCATTATCATTTCCAAAAGTTTTTCATTACCCCAAGCAGAAACTCAGTACCCATTAAGGAATACCTATCCATTCTTCCCTCTTCCCAACTCATAGTAAATACTAGTAAACTTTGATCTGTATGTATTTGACTATTCTAGACATTTCATATGTATGGGATTATAAATATTTGTGCTTTTGTATTTGACTTATTTCCCTTAGCATAATGTTTTCAAGGTTCATCTGTGAGATAGCATCAATTAGAACTTCATTTCTCTTTGTACTACATTTTGTTTATTCATTCATCTGCTGATGGACACTTGGGTGCTTTCAACCTTCTAGTTATTGTGAATAATGCTGCAAGGAAAACTGGTGTACAAATATCTATTTGAGTCTCTGCATTCAGGTGTTTTGGGTATGTAACTAGGAATGGAATTTCTGCATCATATGGTAATTTTATTTTAATTTCTTGAGGAACCACCAAACTGTTTTCCAAAATTCCAACACATCCTCATCAACACGTGTTATTTTCTATTTTTTTTTTGATAATACCAATCCTAAACGAAAGTAAACCCACCACCATCAAGTTGATTCCAACTCACAGCAACCCATTCCGACTGCCCCACAGAGTTTCCAAAGATGTAAATCTTTATGGAAGCAGACTACCACATCCTTCTCCCATGAAGCAGTTGATGGGTTCAAAACATCAATCTTTAGTGTCACCAGAGCTCCACAGGAATTCTAGTGGGTGTGAAATAGTATCTCAGTATGGTTTCGATTTGTATTCCCTAAATGACTAATGACATAGAGAATCTTTTCATGTGTTTATTGGTCATCTGTATATCTCTTTGGAGAAATTCAAAGTTATTTGCTTAATCAAGTTATTTGTCTATTTTTTAATTGAGTTGTTTGTCTTTTTATATTCTTAATATAAAATATATAAAGTTCTTTGTATATTCTGGATACTAAAACCTGGTCAGATATTTGGTTGACAAATATTTTACCCCATTCTCTAGGCTATCTCTTCACTTTCTTGATAAAGTCCTTTTCAGCACAAATGTATTTCATTTTGATGAAGACTAATTTATCTATATAGTTTTTTTGTTGCTCTTCCTTTTGGCATAATTTCTAAAAATCCATCACCTAAACAAGATTCTAAAGATTTACTCCTATGTTTTCTGTTAATAGTTTTATGATTTTGGTTCTTTTATTTAGGTCATTGATTCATGTTGAGTTAATTTGCATATATAGTGTTGGGTATAGGTTCAACTTCATTCTTTTGCCAT